GGATTTACAATTTGATTATTAGATGTAAAATCACCAAGGAAGAGGTCAGAGTCATTAAACATATCAAACCCATCATGCTCTCTCAGCTGGGGAAACTGCACAGGCCCTGTGCCAAGAAGATCATCCATCTCAAGAATATCTTCATCGGTAAACTGAAGATCTAAGAGCTCTGGATACCGAGTGAATTCAGACCGTACAGTAGAAGCTGCCTCAGTTGCACCCCACGACTGCTCAGCAATAAAGCTTGAATCCAACTTGTCTTGTTGAGAGCCTGGATAATACATCATTAAAGGCTCAGAATATACCAGATCCTCAATCGATCCATTAACAACAGTGCTACGAGTCTCTTCTTCTCCAAGAAACTGAAATTAAAATAACACAAAAAAAATCGGTCATTATGAAGCTAAAGATTTGTATATATTTAAAAACAGAAGTAATAACTTGAGAAAACTAAAATCCACATCTTTCTGCTTATTCAAAATAGGTGGCATTAACGTAACAAACTAGCAGCCTCTGCGAAATTAGCACAAAAGCAAGACGAAACTGAATGTAAAATCGCACCTGAGTTAGTGCCAGTTCAAAGCCATCAAGATTTACTGGCAATGGTGCCTGATCATCAACTGTGTTGTTCAAAAGCTCCTCAACATCAACCAATGAGGGATCTACCTGCGCGTTTCTACAGCTATCTGCAGGAGGAACTTCGTCCACATTGTGATCACCAGGCACTATGTCAAACTTACTAGTGAATTTCACAAATTCATCATCAGCCCAATCCTCCTCCCTAAAAGGAGCTCCATACTGCCCATCTAGCCTCCGCAACCTTCGCCCCCTACTATGACCATAACCCCTTCCAACTGCCTCTGCCCCTCCAACCTTTGCCACCCTCACCACTTCTATTCCTGCTCACACCACCTCCACAACCACTCCCACTAGCCCCACCATCACCACTAGCCCCACCATCACCACCACTCCCACTAGCACCACCCTCACCACCACTCCCACTAGTGGTACCACCCCTGCCCGAATGAAAAAAAAAAACTAAAATTTCCCCCTTTGAAGGAAAGTCGTCTACGCCTTCTCCTTTTATCCACTTATGGTTTTCACTACAAATTTTGCGAGTTATAAAATCAAATTTTATTAAAGTCTCTTTTAAAACTAGTTCCCCGTCACTCTTCTTCCTCTTATTAGCCTTTCGCCTCATTCTCTTCTCCTTCCTTTTTCTCATGTCTTCCACATGATCCTCCCTCTTATTTTCTTTTTTCTCTTCTCCCCCCACCCTTAGAATGGGATTCACAATAGTCCCGAGCACTTTCTTAAAATATTTGCTTAAAATAAGATGGACAGAGGAAGCTTGAATACCCACAGAATCAGGAAATTTTTTAGAAGCAGTAGGATTGTGGTTTTTGCATTTCCTTTGGAGGTATTTTAGTATACCCTCCCCACCCACTTTAGGAAACAGGTTTAAAGCTGTTTAAAAAAATGTTATGGGCTGATAGTGGGTGAAAACTATATGGTTTCAAAAATTCCTAAAAAGTATATCTGACATTTGTTTCTTCTCGATCTTTCTATGAGGCAAGTATTTAAAAAGTTCACTACGGAGATCTACGGAGATCTACAGGATAAACATCTTTGAGAATACTTAAACATGGATAAACATCATGTTCAAAGTATCCGCCTTACCTGTAGATCTCCGTAGTGAACTTTTAAATACTTGCCTCATAGAAAGATCGAGAAGAAACAAATGTCAGATATACTTTCTAGGAATTTTCGAAACCATATAGTTTTCACGCACTATCAGCCCATAACATTTTTTTAAACAGCTTTAGACCTGTTTCATAAAGTGGGTGGGAGGTATACTAAAATACCTCCAAAGGAAATGCAAAAACCACAATCCTACTGCTTCTAAAAAAATTCCTGATTTTGTGGGTATTCAAGCTTCCTCTGTCCATCTCATTTTAAGCAAATATTTTAAGAAGGTGTCCGGGGCTACTGTGAATCCCATTTTAAGGGTGGGGGAGAAGAGAAAGAGGAAAAAAAAGAGGGAAAATCATGTGGAAGAAACGATAAAAGACATGAGAAAAAGGAAGAAGAAGAAGAAGAGAATGAGGCGAAAGGCTAATAAGAGGAAGAAGAGTGACAGGGAACTAGTTTTAAAAGAGATTTTAATAAAATTTGATTTTATAACTCGCGAAATTTGTAGTAAAAACCATAAGTGGATAAAAGGAGAAGGCGTAGAGGACTTTCCTTCAAAGGGGGAAATTTTAGTTTTTTTCATTCGGGCAGGTGTGGTACCACTAGTGGGAGTGGGAGTGGTGGTGCCGGTGAGGGTGGGGCTAGTGGGACTAGGAGTGGTGGTGATGGTGGGTCTAGTGGGAGTGGTCGTGGAGGTGGTGTGAGTGTGTGACAGGATAGGTTACCTTTCTTGTGACAGGATATAAGTTCCTTGAGCCCCTCCACTCCATAAGAGCCCGTCCACTTAGCTCACGTTTTTTGTCCCATCCATGACCATGTCTTCACCATTGGTACCTTTTCCAGACTGGACCTCCCAGGTCCTCCTGCGTTTGAGCTCCCCAGGCATCTCTTCCTCTTCATTGCTCTCTAATAGTACTGGTTTAATGCCCTTGGACTCGGCTGAATACTCTCCTCCAGAATGAGATTTCCACTGGCTGCCAAACCCTTCAAAGCTAGAAGCTCCCGCAGATGTCCATTTGTATAATCTTGTAGGGCTGGTCTTCACACGTCCTCCGGCTCGAAGCTCCAATCCATATGTTTTCTCAGCAACAAAACCCTCTTCATACTTCAACGGGCATAATTTATCAGAATGACCAATAATGCCACAGATGAAGCAGAAGCTGGGCAACTTCTCATATTTAAAGTCCACCCAATGCTTAACTCCATCCTGTGTCAGATTAGTGCCTTTTTTCAAAGGCTGACGAACATCCATAGATACCCTAATGCGCAAGTAAGAAGTCTGCCTACCATCAAATTGGCTCATCTCAAATTTAATAAAAGAGCCCATAAAATTACCAATTCTCATAGCAGATCTCAAATTTCTATACTTTATAGGAGCATTATGAACCTGTACCCAGAAGCTAGCCTCAAACAGTTTCATTGATTCAGGTATATCATCAGGCTGAACAGCTTTTAGTAAAATCAAATCGTGCTCAAACAGCCAAGAACCATCCTCAATAACACGATTCATATCCAAAACATGATTAAAAATTAACAAGTACTTTTTGTCGCCGATTTCCTTGATAGTCATACCTTTAACAGGTTTCCGCTCCTGGAATCCTGCTAGTTTAATCTTTCGATCCGATATCACTACCCCTACTGCCGGAAAACCAGTCGGCCCTGCCTCTTCCTCGACGTCCTCCGCTACATCTTCATCAAAATTCAACTCGTTCTCTTGCTCGTTCATCGAAAGCTTCTTGTATGAGGCCACAAAATCTTCCATGCGTATCCTCCCGTCCGTCGATCGAAACTAAACTACTGCTATCCGTCTTCGTTCCGACTCCACTCGCTCGCGATCCTCAGCAGACCGCCGAGATCGGACACAACAAAACCCAGCGGCGTAAAACGCCCTAGGAGGCTCGAAGATTTAGAGAGAAGGCTCTCGCTCCGTATAACTTTATTTTATTATTTATTAGAAAATGTTTTTCATATTGTATTTTTGTTCTCAATTCTCAAATGTAATTCCCATTTCACATAAATGCACTTGAAGCTTGTTTTTAATATCCAAAAATTGTATAAATAAGTAGAAAAGGAAAAAAAAAATATCGGCCCGACCCGACCCGGCGGGTGGCCCGGCTCAGGACCCGGGCGGGTGACCCAGCCCGAACCGGCACCGGCCTTAGTACAAGCCGGGCTCGGGCCTGCTACCAAAGTTCCAAGGCCCGGCGCGAGTCCAGGTCTATTCACACGAGATGCAGTTAATAAGTTATAAATTATTTTCACATGTATATACGCATATTGTGCTAATGATAGAATAATGTATATATTATTTAAAAAAAATTAAAGATACAAAATTACAAAGTATATTTTTTCTAATAAACAACATTTAAAGTCTTCTACGACAAAAAAAAACGTTTAAAATCATCATCAAATGTTTTTTTAATATATATACTTTTTTTAAAGACAATTACCGTAATTTATTCAAAGAAAGGAAACGGATAAAGACGATTACATGTGGGGGCTAGACAGTCATCATAAAAATATAAAATGTAATAAACCTCTATAGTTGGAATAAATAAGCAACAATTGTAACTTAATGAGGTAAGAGTCAGATTGATACTCGAAATTGCATGAAAAGTGTCAAATAAGTCCTTATTGTCCGGCCGTCGCCATTTGAAACGGTTTCCGGTGGAATTTTTAGATGAACTGTTTTGATCATCTTATTCAGTAAATCTAGTTTACTCATACCAAATTTCAGCTAACACTTCAATCAGGAAGGCATTCAAATAAATTCTTGAAGATAATTGCGCTTTTAAGTGCGCAATTACCTTCAAGAATTCATTTGAATGTCTTCCCGGTTAAATTTTTAGCTTAAATTTGGTATGCGTAAACTAGACTTGATGAATAAGAAGCTCAAAAAAGTTCTTCAAAAAATTCCACCAAGAACTACCTCAAATGACGACAGTTGGATAGAGCCTCCTATATAAGGACTTATTTGACCCTTTTTATGTAACTTCAAGTACCAATGTGACCCTTACTAACTTAATTCTCTGCGTAATTGCGTTAAAATTAATTTTTCCCAATGTAATTTTGATTTTGTAAACAACAATTTCACTCCTTGTGAAACCAGTTTTCTTCCATCTAAGTCTAAAACTCTGTTGTGCCAAGTTTCAATTCTTCTATAGCGATATGGCTCCCAATTTAACTCACCTCCCACAACTTCCAAATCTTACACTACCCACCGGCCACCTCACTCACTTGGTGGGTGACCTTTTGTCCCATATATTTAAGCTTCCAATGGAATATAACCAATACATGTAACTATTGGACCAAAGTACAAAACTATACAAAGTATTACATAGAGCCACTAGATTAATCAAAATAATTGGTTACACCCCAAATTTATGAAAATCAAATGCATGACCTTTATCTTATAGACATCAACGGTATAAATTTATATAAAGGATACATTTCCAGTACTTTTTTAAGTCAATGTATCTATTCATCCATTTCAATGACAACTTTGGAACTCAACCAAATTTACATGTACCAAACAGACTCAATGAAGATGCCTAATTTGTTTCATGCATGAAATCTAAACACAGACAAAAATGTGAAATCCTTTCCCACACCACTAACTATGCATTAAGCATTTAAGCAAATGCAAAATGAAACAGTGATTTTCGACCTTTTACCTGCTTCCATTTGAAGTAAAAAATCTACAACCCTCCAAGGAAATAGCCTAAACTGGAGGGAAATATAATCTAAATCAGCTTTTCATATGAGAAAATTGCTTCATTATTGGTAGTAACAAAACCCCAATGGGTACACCCAATGGCATGAGACTGAACCAAATAAGCCGAGAATTTGTAGTCTCGCTCAGTGTCCGCATCTCTGCAAAACCATAAGAGAAGTTTTTGCCAGGGGAAAAGATAGATGGTTAAATAAGGTTATAATTTCATAAGGAAAGATGGTAATGGGATTACATAACTGGATGATAAATTACCTGCTCTCTATAAATAATAGATTTTCATGTATGGCCTTTACTGCGCCTTCAAGCTTTCTCAGCTCAAGTTCAATACCCTATTGAATGCCAAAATATAAAGTGATGAACGAACAACACAATTATTGAGTGTTATTGCTTGTCTACTGGTTTTGAGTGTAGTATCTAAGTACGTGATTTCCTATTGGATCCAATTTAACATGAAAAGGACTTGGTCCAAAGGAGTTTTGCGGAAAGCCCACACATTCAATGGTTTAGTAAAGCCCGTATAGGCCTGTTTGAGCCCATTTGTCTACCCTCTACTCTAACATACAGGTTTAATGTTGAAAATGCTGAGAATGCAACAATCATATCATTCAAGAACTATACTACCCTACCCTGACACATTTTAAAACGCTTCATTTCATATAGACAATGTCCCCTCACTTTATTCTTAAAATCAAATGCATAAACATTATCAAATGTGGTCTGTATGCACACAAATTATATGACATGTGCAAGATCTAAGATCAATGATCTGACATTTGGAACCCTCATTCTTTTCATTTGACATTTGTACCAAGTACAATGTAAGAGAGTATGAGGCAATAAACAATGAAAGTCTTAACAAAAGGTCCTTCAAACTAAATAACTTTTTTTTGTATCTTTAATGAAGAATTCACAGGAAGCATTTGGTTACATAATCCATCCGACAGAATGCATGTAAACTAAATGTGCAAGGCACCTATTGTCAAGCCTTGATCCTCACAAGCCACGTGGGAAGCTGGGAGAGAACACTTTTACTTTAATTTTGTTTTCAAATTTATCATCATGGCCAAACCTCATCATTTCCAAATCAGTGGATTATTATCAATAAAGATTTAGAGTATGATTGTATTGCAAAATCTAAAATAAGAGGGGTACATAAATAAAATAGGAAGTTACTGTGGGCATAGTTTGCGTATCATAAACACATAAGATAGTATGTAGTATAAAATATAGGGGAAAATAATTTAAATACCCCAAACTTTGATGGGGTGTGAGATAAGTATCGCAAACTTGCACATGTGATATATGTACCCCAAACTTTATATAATATAAAAAGTTATATTAGCATCATTTATTTTTTCACAAATGTAATTTTATAGTGTTAAGTACATAATTTAAAATACACAAATCATTTATGAGGATGCAATTAAAATTAAACTGTATCGGATGTGATATTATTTATTACACAAATGAAATTTTAGAATGTTAACTGGATTCTAACAAAGCTTAGAGTATTTTAAATTATTTAATTATTCCAATAAATTTGTATTTGTAAAAGAACATACAATCATGGTATGAAAATAACTTTTTATACGGGGGATTAAGTTTGGGGTATATATATTAAGTTCGGGGTATATATATTACATACGAAAGTTTGGGGTATTTATCTCACACCCCAATAAGTTTGGGGTATTTATCTCAGATTAATTTAAGTACTTTTAAGCTATAAGTTCAAAGCTGGGTGGAGGGTGCTTTTAATAGCTTTTTGGTATTTTTGTAAACAATTTAAACTTTAGGGATAGTTATTAGGTTGAATATTTTAATTAAACCCAAACTACCCTCCCCTTATTCCTGCCTCTCCCGGCCCCATCATCTTCTTCGTTCCACTATTTCAGCCATTGCTCTTCGTTCGAAACCTTCCCTTTCAGTTACCGTTCTTCTATCACTCCCCAATTCCCCATCCCATCTTCCTCTGCTGCTAGCCTTTCGGCTTTCTCCATCCCATCTCGCTGCTACTCCACTTTCTTTGGATAAATTAATTTGATGTAAGCAAACAGGTCACACTTACAACTTGATCATTCATCAGCCCAATAACACACTCCATCCCTTCCATTTTACAAACCTCCCGGAGGATCCATCCCTTTCCTCAATTAATTTGATTGGGTATGTATGCTTCTGCGTCGCCGACTTGAGCACAGGGGATGCGCCCCAATTACATTTAATTTATGTAGGGGGGCAATTTTGTGCTTTAACAAATTTTCCATAAAAAATTACTTTTTTATCAAACACTTCAACTTCTACCTTTTAATTAAAATCACTTCTATTTACAAACACTATCTACTTCTACTTTAAATCACTTTTCCAATAATCTCTTAAATAAATCACTTTTAAAAAGCACAAGCAAACGCAAACACTCCCTAATTTAGATCATAACACAAACATTCAAATCAGATCAGAAAATTTCAAAATTGATTTATTACTTTTATTATTATTAATATTGTTGTTGTTGACATTAATATCAATATTTTTATTATTATTATTAATGTTGTTGTTATTGTTATTATTTTTTAATATTGGTATATTATTATCGTTATTATTAGCATTAATATAGGTATGTTACTATTATTATATAAATGGTCTTGGAATTAGCCGCATGACGGTTTATGATCAGGCGGACTGATCATTTCTCTCTGTTAGTTATCTACAGTGTTTTCAATCCCAGGTAGCGGGACAGAGCGGCCAGCCTTGAAAACAATATAGCGGTATAGCGGATAGCGGGATGACCGCTATTCAGACTACTTTTAAGTATAATACATAATTAACTAGAAACATATAATTACATTACATACACATTAGTAAAGTATGATATATGTCATTTAAAGTTGCAAACATCTTAACATTCTTAAATCCTAAATTACTGGGAAATATTCCTTAGTTTCATGAGCAAAACATACGATGCTATTAATGATCGAAACATCTGAATCAAAACATTGAATAAAAAACAATTTCCTGGTTTTTAATAGTGTATCAATCTACCACTGGAAAGAAACAAAGAGGAGTGTAGCATGTGTAATTCTTGTACAAGATGAAGGAGCACAGGTCATTCTTGAAAAAGATGGAGGAGAAAAATTTGTTGAAGCAGAGGTCATTGCAGAGTAGAGAGCAGAGAAGACATACGGATTACTTTTTTATTAAAACATGGAGCCATTTTTAAGAGTTCTACATTTCTGCGTACGTGTACAAGGGTTTTAAGTTGATTACTATTTAGTTTTAAAAGTCTACTTTATCCCTGTCCTTCCGCAGTCAAAAAATAAACGCAGAAAACCCCCAGCAGACATTAGATCGCAAGCGGCGCTATAGCGTCCGCCTCTACCTGTATAGCGCCCCCGCTATAGCGCCCGCGAAGTCCGCTACACCCAAACGCTCCGCTACAGGAGGTCTAGTAGCGCCAGACCACTCCTCCGCTCCGCTCCACCGCTATAGCGCGCGATTAACATCACTGGTTATCTATGATACTTATATACGCATAAATGTACTCTCACACAATTTCATGTATTTTTCTCATAAGAACGAAATAAATCAACCAGAAGAGCAACATCTACTCACCTGACCAAGGGAGTGTGAGGCTACCGCTCACACGACTAACTTTTCTTCGCCTAGACTAGGAAGAGCAATATCTGCTCTCATCACGCCACTATAGCTGCTATGAACCTGAGCCCCAGCTTGAGAGAACAGTTCCACAACTGCGGGCAGCTTTCCGTAGTACCTCTTCAAAGCATCAACTAGAGGAAGAGGGGAAGATGGATCTAGAACATGCCACACGTAGACCGGAGGAACAAGGTCATCTATGGTTGCCTCTTGCCAAGCATGTTGCCCGTCCCTCATTTGATGCTTGAAGGCTTGACACTGCCTCACCCTATGACCCTTCGGTCCCACTTGAACTTCAGGACAATATCCGCATGTTTGAACAGCGTACTTCTGCATTAGCTGTATGGCTCCCGTTCGTGTGTCCTCCCACACTTCCATTCCTCTCTCTGCACATCCTGGATAGAAAATTTGAATTATTAGCTTAAAACTGGTTTATGTGTTAAAACTCACTTCAGACTAACCATTGTCTGCAGACTTCAAGGGCCATTTGGTAGGGCACGTATTCGGCTTATATGTCAAATCCTTTACCAAAGGTTAAAAGCTTGTTTGGTTAGACTTAAATGGATGTTACGGAATTTACCGAAACTACTGATGTTATTATTGTTGAAATGACTAATTTGGTTGAACCTGCTGCTTTATTAAAAAAATGAAAATATATAGTTAAATGAACTAAAGAAAATAATTTCTCAAGTAAAGCTAGAAGTACCCATGACTCTGATATCATGGATCGATTCATGTTAGCCGACCCCCAAATTGTTTGGAAATAAGGCTTGGATGTTGTTGTTGTAAAGCTAGAAGTACCTATTTGACAAATTTAGCAATTTCACCCACAAAATAACTTATGCACTAATTTATCTCATTGCTACGACGACTGCTGATAAAAAGAATTTTTCAGCCAAAAACAAAGCCCGTCAAATGTATTCTAACTTATTTTGCACTGAAATCAATGAAAAAGACAATATGACCTCCAATTTATGATGCTATTTTATTTAACTTATTAAAAGATAAAGGTATATGTTGAATAAGTATAAAATATATATCAGCATATTCACTCAATTTAATTAGACCTCAGCAACCTGTCTCTGATAAACACCAGTAGATTGCCGAAGAAATCATATAATGCCTAGGAGCGAGGGAGGAGCAATTTGAGGATATTAAAAAATTGAAAAAAAATAGTATTTGAAGAATACAATACCTGTGATATCATCGGGAGGCAAACCCAAAGTTTTCTCATTTGAAGTTATTAATCTCTTAGTGGTTCCCCAAAAACCAGATGTCTGGATGTGGTTTCGAGAGAGAGCATTATCCTTGGGGAACCTCTTCTCAAAATCTATCATTTTCCTGGCCACTTGGTAAACTGGGAACTTCCGTCTTCTGGTTGGGTAGTCAGGCACGTCAACCCCAGCCTGAATGCACAACTCCATAATCGCAGGAATCCGGTCCACCTCCAGCCTCTCATCATGTGAAACGGCTCTACCCAACCGATCATACATATGGAAAGATTCTACAAGAGGCAATAAGTGTTTGACATCCCCTCTCTCCCAAATATGCTCCTTGCTCTTTTCACTGCCGCTAACAGAACATGTTTTAATCTTATGTGGTGTATGACCAACATGAACTTCCCCACACAACCTACAGACAATAAAGTTCCAGGAATCATCAAATATATGCTTCAGAAGGATCAATAGTGACACCATTCTGTTAATCCATATATTCCTAAAGAAGTATCGTTTCGGAGAAGAATAACAAAACGTTCTAAACCATCATTTAGAAAAATCTGAAGCAGCATTAAGCATGTTTTTTTTTTCAAATTTACCCTGCTGATTAAAAAGAGATAAATAAGTACACATTTAATTTCAATATATACTTCGTACATTGTAGCAATATTAAAATATATTTTCTAAAATATATCTTTCAAGCCCGTCCCAAGCCAAGATAAAGGAGGAGCGTGTTGTGGTAGGTGCATGACGGGCCTGACGGCCAACAGCATATCTTAGTCGCATCGCATGACATGAATTGAAATATGAATATTTACTCCAATTTCATATGTTGATCACTTGATTGATATTAGCCGACCCCAAACTCTTTTGGAACTAAGGTTTGGATGTTGTTGACCCTTCAAACTATTTTTCGGACATAGGACGACTAATGTTTTTCCCTTGGAACTTACACTTTAAAGTAGGAACGCCCTTCCCTATCAGTGCTCATGTAAGTCTGGTTCAAAGGATATAAAAAAATAATCTGGTGCACATAGACCACCCTGTAAGGCGAAGGTCCAATAAAGGATTCTACCATATGGGTGTATAAGAACAAGTCTTCCCTTTCCAATTTGGCAATAGGCCATTCTCACCACTTGAACTTGTAACCTCTCTGTCACACAACAACACCTTAACCGGTGTGCCAAAGGCTCCCCATCAAGGAAGGGACATTTGGTTTTGGCAATGTCATGTTACCTTGGTAATGTGTTATTTACCTTGGTGATGTGAAAAATCCAAAAAGGTAATATGAGCTCACATTGGTGATAGAATACAAAAACGTGTTGGGACACTCCATTTAAGCCAAAGCACACTAAAAGTCTAAGAGATCGAATCCCAACAATTAGCAACTCTAGCTCTAGGCTATATAACACTTATGTCTCACTCCTATGTCTAACTCCTATAATATTTTTATGTCAAACTCTTCCCTAGATAATAAAAATATCTTAGAGTATAAAGACATTAGTAATAACTCATTTACTGGTCACATTTCGTAAGCCAAACAGCATAAGGACAGGAATCCCAAGCATGAAAAACTTTCTCATCTTTTAAACAAAAAGTTATTGGCCTGCACATGCTACCTCTACTAACAGAATAAGAATTATTCACAGTAGAATACAATACGATTTAGCAACTTCAGATAGAAAAATACACAAAGAACCGGTGTTACCTGCATGAATAGATAGGAATGTGATCTGCAACTCTAGAAACACAAGCTAGTAACTCAGCTTGGGAAGCTAAAACATGATGCGCTACTGGTATTAACCCCTTCACTAACAGCCCATCCTCGGGAGGCTTCAGAGTAACTTCTCGAACCTCTTGTCGCTTTTGCTTCTCCAGCCTCTCTCTGCGCTTGAGCTCATTAATGCTCGTCACCAATGGCTTCCTCTCTGTTCTCCTTAGTTTTCTAGGGACCTCTGTAATGGTCGAATATGATGCATCAATTAGTTGTAGCGCCATACTCTTGGTGATGAAATTTGTGTCATAGTCTCCCCTTATTAATCCTCTGATGTTGAATACCGTCCAGATTTTCATATGGAAGGTTGTAATAGATTGTAAGCTTGGAAGTTTCATTAAAGCATTTTAACGAACAGTTTGGGTTCGTCTGCTGAAAGGCCCAACGTCTCTGGATTCTCGTCTCGAGATGGAACGAGCATACAAAGGTCAATTCGAACGGTAGGTCAGGATCAGATGCTTGCAAAGCTGTTTTCTTTTTTTGGGTTTGCTACTACAAAAATTAAATGAAAAAGGTTTTTTCAGTCTTTATTCATGGGTTTCTATCTTTTTCTTTGCCTTTTGAATCCTTATAGATAAATCAAGAATTCAATTGAAACTTATTTTTCCCTTAATTCCATGCATGAAACCAACAGAGATCTGATTGCTTCATGCAGGGCAGGTCCTGAAAAAATGGGTAACTGTCTACTTGGGCCTTCCTTACAAGCTTTAATAGAAATAAAACATAAATAGGATGATAATGATAATAAATTACTGATAAATTATGTTAAAATTCATGTTACTAATGAGCATAATAGTTACAAATAACAGTATTCATTATTCATTAATAAATTACATTTCACTTAATTAAAAAGAGACATTCTTCGAGCGTATATAGATGCAAAGTCATCTATAAAACTTTCAATGTCAAGTCTTCTTTTCTTTTTAAGCTTTTCGTACCAGGATGGGTGTTTCTTTAAAAACATAATTACTACCAACTATTGAAATGCTCCAATAATTTTGTATACATTTGCAAATATTAAATTTAAAGTTAATTTAAATTTTGAATTAATGCCTATAAATTATAAACACAAAAAAAAAAACTTATAAACTACTCCGTATTGAAGTATTATAGTGTAAAAAATTTCAAAATTAAAAACCTAATAACATACTGATACCAGTTTGTTAAGTATAATTAGTTTAAAAACTTATTTACATAATTAATTAAATAACATCCAAATTTATTAAATTCAACAGTTCAATAACTTGAAACTTAATGTTTTTTGCATAATTCAAGGCACGAAATAAAAAATTAGGCGAAAAATTTGGTAAGCACCAAAACACAATCACCAAACGGCTCTAATAATGGATGATTTACAAGAAGTCAGAACACCTTACCTGGTTCAGCACTTCAGCAAGTGTTGCGAGGAATGCGAGCGACGAGCTATTCAGCGGAGTGAGCGGATTGGAGCGCGTGGCGGGGTCGATTGCTGAGCCAGAGCGAGAGTTCTGTCGACTCGAGTCGTTTTGGAAAAAAAGGATGACACCCATCCCTGAGGGGCCCCCACCACCGACCGGACGGCACGATGGGAGGATGTAAATTGGACTATAATCACAATCTGACAGATAGAGAGTGGGGCTCTGTCCCCGGTACTTGCAGAGACCCTATGCATTTTTCAGCATAGTAACCCCTCATCGCAGTTGCCGGGATTCGAACCCGAGACCTAACCCTTGTGGCACTCCCTTGCTACCAGTTGAGCTACGCCCACCGGTTTACTCGAGTCGTTTTGGATTTCAGTTTGTGTTCGGCTACACATTTCCCTTAAATGACCTCCTTGCCCCGAACTTGTCCCCCTTTTCTGTGGAAAATCCTAATCTCACACGGAGTAGTGAGTAATTTTATATCGCATCTCCTCCCCCGTCCCGTTAAATCACATGATGTAGGGGGTGTTTGGCAATTGACTGTTGCCTGTTGGCTATTGGCTGATTCATGACAGCGGATCTTGTTGGCTGTTTTGATTAACTGATAGTATTAGCAGTTTGTAAAATGATCTTTGGTTAAGTGGCTGTTCGCAATCAGCTAATTAGTTATTAAAATGACTTTTAAGGACATCAAATAATTTTTTTCCAACTACTTTTATAAACATATATATCGTAAAAGAAGACCACCAAAATTGATAAACATTGGGTAAAATCTACTTTTAACACTACTTTTATACTGGTACGTAATATCAATATACATGTGGAATCCACTAAGCCTTAAATATCTAGTACAAGTTCGAGTTTTTTAAAGCTTGATTTTGTTTATTTCAAAATTACTTATTTATCTTATATGTTATATCTATGAACCACTTTATTTGATGTTTTAGGTGAAGAAAGCCCACTAACGATTACTACGTATTTTTGTTGGGAAAGTCAAAGTAGCCGACCAAGAGACAAGGGAGGGAGGTTGGGTAAAATAGGACAAAAAGTCTTGGTGTACACCCTGGGTTACACCCTGGGATACACCATATATAAGGCTTATTTTTTACTGCTTTCTTTACCCTCCTCTCGCACAACACTCCCATCCCCAATCCTCACACACCTTTCTTTCTCTCCCACATGTCTCTGTGTTCGTTCTCTTCTTCCCGTGATTATCTCCGTTTTTTTCAAATCTCATGGATGATTTTCTAGCATATTTGATGGTGGATGGAGAAGTGACCGGAAACAACGGAGGTTTGGAAGATACCTACCTGAGACAGACGATGGACAACACAAATGGAAGAAATGCAGAAGCTCTGAACGTCGCTGTGAACGAGGAAGATGGAGCTGCGACGGAGGACGGAAATGTTGGAGCTGTGAACGGGGAAGATGGTGGTCCGAACAACCCTAGGGACGAAGACTTAGATGGGATGGGTGGCGGACCTGTGACACAAGGCGTTAACGAACTTCCCATACTTGACGGTTGGAATGATTAGAGCTGCGATAGGGAAGAGAATAACAGGGAGAAGACGAATGCTGATGTTGGAGGTATTTTATTTGACACACAGACAACTTACATACTTAGTGTCGGTGTGTACCGACAACTAGTGTCGTTGTGTACAGAGTAGTGTCTGTATGTTGGGTTCCTATCTCTAGCTAGTTGGCTAACTAGTATTGGTTTCATCATAAAAGTTGAGTGCTGCAAACCATTAAAATTGATTTCAGATTTGCTTTCTTTTGGCTAGTAAGTTCTGATAGTAGTTGCCAAGGTTTATCATGAAAGTTATGAAATGGAAAGATTACTAGTTTTCATTGTGATTTTTTTCCTATAATAAGTTCTTGTTTTGTAGACAATATTCACTTTGTAAGTGTTTGTGTGCCAATATGGTTTAATTTGTAAGTTGTTATGTAACATTACTGAAGTATATGTTCTTTTTTTGTGAGTTATATACAAAAGTGGGAGATTGATGAAGTCATCTGTGTTTCTGCATGTTCGTAAGTGTTTGTGAAATAGTGTGTAATTGTCTGTGTACACCAACATTAATGTATGTACACTTCTTATTGTTAACTTTGTCGACACTGGTTGTACTTGCAGCACTAAAGAGTGTGGAGTCATGGTCATGATGTTTGCGAAGAATTTGTTGTTGCAATTTCCATTAAAATCAGGTTGTGACTACGACAACATGTGGCACGTTAGATGTCAGTTTGCTATACGACTTTGGCATTTGAAGAAGAAACCCGATTGACATTTATTGCTCATTTAAGTTTGTTCCAGATATAATGGATTGTTTTCCTAGCATAGAAGAAGTGACCGGAAATGACGGAGGTTTGGAAGATACCTATGACGGACGACGGAAATGGAAGAAACGCAGAAGTTGTGAACGAAGAAGATGGAGCTGCGACGGAGGACGGAAATGGTGGGCTGTGAACGAGGAAGATGGTGGTCCAAACAACGCTAGGGACGAAGACTTTGGTGGGACAGGTGGTGGACATGTGACACAAGGCGTCAACGAAGTTCCGATATTTGACAGCCGGGATGATTACAGTTGTGACGGGGAAGAGAATAGCAGGGAGAAGATGAATGAGATGTTGGAGGTATTTTCTTTTACACACACAGACAGCTTACATACATAGTGTCGGTGTGTACCGACAACTAATGTCGTTGTGTACAGAGTAGTGTCGGTATGTATAGACAACTGAAGAGATTCTCATTGAGTTAATGTATACCTACAAAGATGAATGTTGTATCTATGAATGTTGTTAATGTATACCTACAAAGACGTATTTGATTTATGAATATTGTTAATGTATACCTATCAAGATTTTTTTATATCTATGAATGTTGTTAATATATACCCTACTACTATAATGTATACCTACAAAGATGAATGTTGTATCTATGAATGAGTTAATGTAAAATGATTAAGCGATTATGTGAACAGATGGAGATAACAATGGTGATGAATGTGAACAAATTCGAAAGATAGGCATGAAGTCTCCTACAAAAGATGCAGTTTATGATTTCTACAAAAAGTGTACATATGTCGGTGTGCACAGGCGAATGAAAGGCTCCTGGGTGATTGTACTGACAATTAGTGTCGGTGCGAACAGAGTAATAGTGTTTTTGTAGGTGTACACAGACAGTACTTTCTTTATAAGTGTTTGTGTGACAATATGGTTTCAGTTTAGTAATATGGTTTGAGTTGTTAACTTGTTATGTAAGATTACCGAAATGTAACGGCTTTTGTTGTGTGAGTTATATACAAAAGTGAGAGATTTATGATTCTATTGGGTTTGTAAGTGTTACTTTGCCAACATGGTTGGAGTTGGGTTGACGTTGTCTGTGAGCTTCATATGATATGCATGTGACGTTCATATCATTGTCTATGAGCTTTATGGTAGTTGTTTGTGAAATTCAAATAGTTGTGTGTGAGTAATATTGTTGTCTCTAAGATTCATATATGTTAGTGTAATTTAAGAGACAACACAAAAACTTTTATGAAGCCCGCAAACAAGTACTATAAATCTCACAAAAACCTTATTGTAGCTCACAGACATCAATATGAACGTCACAAACAAATCATATGAAGCTCACAGACAACTCCAACTCCAACCATATTAACAAACTAACACTTACAAACCAAATGACTTCACCAATCTGCTATTTTTGTATAAAACTCACACAAAAAAGCACACTTAGCTAATCATACATAACAACTCACAAACAACTACAACTCAAACCATATTGGCGCACAAACACTTACAAAGCAAATATTGTCTGTGTACACCAACAAAAAGCACTTCAGAAAATACACAAACAAATCCAACAGTTTCATTTCATACACAACAATATGAACGACACAAAAACACCAAATAGCTTCAATAACCTACCACTTTTGTATATATCTCACACAAGAAACTCACACACAATTTGGTAATCTTACATAACAACTCACAGACAACTCCAAGTCAAATCATCCGGGGATACAGACACTGCAATTTTGAACACAGATAGATTATGTATTGCACAGACAAAAAGTATCGGTGTACCTTATTTCATGTCTGGGACCTTCTTCCACTTAAAGACACCTTACCGACACTTTGTGCATTTCACAGTCAGAAAGTGTCGGTGTACCTTATTTCAAGCTTGGGACCTTCTGCCACTTAAAGACACCGTACCGACACTTTGTGAATTTCACAGACAGAAAGTGTCGGTGTACCTTATTTCATGCCTGGGACCTTCTGCCACTTAAAGACATTGTACCGACACTTTGTGAATTTCACAGACAGAAAGTGTCGGTGTACCTTATTTCATGCCTGGGACCTTCTGCCACTTAAAGACACCGTACTGACACTTTGTGAATTTCACAGACAGAAAGTGTCGGTACGGTGTGGGGGAGAAGTTAAGCGGAAGATGATGGCTCGGAAGAGTTTTGAAAATAAAACCGGTTGTGGGGGAGGAGAAGAGGTGAGTGGGAAAGTGGGAAAGCGGGAATTGGGAAAGAAGAATTGCAGAGGAGGGTTTTTTTGGGGGGGAGATGGGGTAAAATTTTAAAATGAGTTTATATATGGTGTACCCCAGGGTGTACACCAAGACTTAGCAGTTTGTCTTTTTCTCATATGCCCATAGTAGCGTAGCCAACATTGCAGAAGATGACATTTATGAATACCCACATGATATCTCAAAATAAGGCTGCTGTGAAGTAACTTCATTCTTGAGGGGGCTGCAATAACATAATCACTCATTTCCGGACATCCTTATGAACATCAATTCATTACTAAGGCAGTACATTTATAATACGTACAACAGCAGTAATCTGCCTACTAAGAATAATCAATTCAATGCAATAACCATTCAATTCTAATAACCATTCAATTCATTACATCAATCCATTGCAGTAACCAATCAATTCTAAAAAGACAATTGAAGTCTTGAAACAAAGATTATTTTACATCCAACCACCAACATATAGATTTATAGAGCAATACATTTCACTTGTGATGCAATATAATACTAAATAAAATCCATGAAACAATCGGCCAAACAAATGCAAGCTTCTCTCCCTTAGCTTTGCGTGCTTGGAGGCCAAAATATGCAATTCTTTCACTTTAGCTCCCATCTTTTCTTTCTCCTTTTCCAGCTTCACAATCTTCTCTTCTAATCTTTTTTGTCCATCAAAAGAGGCTGAATCAAATTATCCTTATCATTTGTCTTCACTTCAAGAGACATAGAAGGATTTTCCTTAACCCATTGGAATTAAGAACAATCAAATTTCTGTAAAAAAAAAAATTACACTTTAGATGCACAATAATACCATTTTGCTGCTCTAAATTACAAATGAAATACAAAAACTGGTGTCGTTTTAATTAATACAAGTTACAATAAAACCGTCTTTAACAAATACAAGTATATAATAAACATATGCTTCTCACACAACTTGTACCGGCTAAAAAGGGATGGCTAAGGGTTCCAGCCGGTGGGGACTATTTCTGGAAAAAGCTCACTTAAGTTAGGACCACCCAATAATAACTGCTAATAGGGATTATTAAATACAGACCGAGCATTGTTGGAATTATTAGATCCAATTTTTTCTAAAAAATAACTCACTTTTGTATATAACTCACACAACGATATAACAAATACCTCAAATTATACTATCGGTGCACCACACACAATAAGATATACAGTATATACCACACGGCTTAACTGTCAGTACACACAGATAAAATTCAATAACCACAAATACAGGGAATCAATGTACATATAAAAAGAACAAAGATAACAACTCCAATAATAACCACTTTTGTATATAACTCAAAAAAGGAACTCACATACACTCTACTAATCTTAAATGAAAACACACAGACAACATCACAGTATCACACATGTTACTTAAACAACTCACAGACACTTCAAACATGTCACATAAGAACTCACAGACAACTACGACTCAACACATAAGGTTATACCGACACTGCAATTCCAAACATACACACACAACCGATTAAGGATTCTAACTTCCATTTTTAATTTTTAAACTCAAAAACTGAAATTGACGAAATGGTAAACATAGTAATCACTATATTCAACTCCAATACACAATCAAAAACCTAATAAAGAAGACACATGACTTCATACTTACAGTCGGCCATGACGAAGAGGCTTGTTCGCACCATGGCCGCAGGTCAGGCCCTTGATCTTTAACAATGGCGTCTTCAACCTTCTTCTTGAGCTTCAACTATCGTCCACGACCATCGTCTTCACCATACTTCGTCACCTCTAGTGCTCCATCTTTGACGATGAACAAGTTGCGTAAATAGGCCACCATTTACAATTCCGAATGTAAGGAGGTGGATTGCCGGTTGTGGGGAAGCGAGAATCGTGAAGAGTGGAGAAGAAGACTTTTGGGGGGTTTGTAGAGTTAAGATGAGGCGGAGGAATTTGGTGGGTTGAGGTTAATTTGATGGGCAAATGGAAGGGTAAAAGAATTGGGAGGGGTATTTATGTGGTGTACCCCAAGGTGTAACCCAGGGTGTACACCAAGAGTTTTTGAAAATAGGAACACCCTATTCTGGAACAGCCAAGAGTAAAATGCCACTTTTATTAGCATTTTTAATTTTGGCTGTTTGAGACAAAAAGTTAGGTGAAAAGGCCAATTAACCAAACACATTAATTAACTGTTTATTTGGTCAAAAATCCAAAAAGTGGTCAAATCAGCCAAAAAATGGCTGATAGGCCATCAACCAAACACCCCGTAATGATGTTAGGGAATTACAGTGTTTATTCGTAATTATTGTATTGATTATTAATAAATTAATTAATAATGGTTGTGGGCCCTAGGGGTGGGCAAAAATACCGGAAAATCGGTATACCGCCTTTACTGTACCGAAAAATACTGAAATATACCGGAATATTGGTATACCGTCATTTTCTGTACGGTATCATACCGCACCGATATATTTTGGCACAGTAACAGCAAATGTTTTCAAATACCGCGGTATAGCGGTATAATACCCTACCGATTCCCTACCCAACAATTACTATAAATTCTAAAATATTGTAAAAGTCCATTACAAGTTTGAAACCCAAAATTAATATTCCGTACTTATGTTGGTTACAAATACTAAAATACAAAAATAAAGGTCCAATTTCTGAAACCTGCTATAACCTTCTAGGCTTCTACTACGTAACATTCAAATAAATTAACCCTAATGACTAATGAGTAATGTACTAATGTCCAGACCAGTCCATCTTTTTCCATAACCTTGCTAGTGGTGATGGTTGAGCCGCTGAGTAGTTGACGAATGAAGAGAGATACACTTTTTGTGACGAGTGTATCTACATAGGGATTCTGCGAGTCCAGCCACACAACTTTGTTCGAAAGTCTTATTCAAATGTTTTTTTAACAATTATAAAAAGGACTAAATACATAGTATCATATTATGGATAAATGATTTTATATCCATGTTGTTTGAATAATTTTATTTATTTTTGTTAGAGATCTGACGTGCACTTTGTCGTGAGTGCACTCAAAATAAATCGATACTAACACTTATACGTAGTATAGGTGAAGTAGAGTTCGTATCCACAGGGAAAGAAATAACTTTCTTTTTATATAAATAGTAAATAAAGGGGGGTTTTGATTGTTGAGTGATTTAATTAAATTAAACACGAAGATGAACGATTTATATGGGATTAAATTCAAGAATAAAAGGGACTTGGTCTTGCTACTTTCCACTTGTTGATATATTTTAGTCGATCATTGTTATATCTATAACTTATCCCCTCTCGAATACTCAATCGAGGAGTATATCCAATTCATCGAGGGTAGTTATTAACAACAACCGTTCATTAATAACCCTTACTATTAACCAAATATAGAACAACGCCGTATACCGATTTAATAGTAGCATTTAACCTCTTTAACTCCTTGATGAAATCAATTGAGATTGATAACCTCAACACAACGGTTTTGGTTTAACCAACAAAATTAATCCCTCTTAAGTTTATTAACCACGACCGTGCATTAATAAACCGAAGTTACTTACTTGTGAAACCATCAACGTTTAACCATCG